AGAATATAGCACAAACTAATGGATCCAGATTATAAGGGAAGAGATTCCATTGAACGTGCTGTCCAAGGCTTTCATTATGGGATTCACTGGGTTGCTGTAAGTTTTTGGGCTGTATGGCTATGTTCCAGAAGCATTCTCTCCTGACATTTTGCCTACACCTATGGCAGGCATCCTCAAAGGTTGTGAGGTATATTGGAAACTAAGCAAAGGTTAGTTAAGACAAGAGTTGTTTCTCCCACCTTGGATGTTCCACAGATATATAAGCCTCCCTTGCTTAGTTTGCAAGATACAGTAGAGTCTCGCTTATCCAACATAAACAGGCCGGCAGAACGTTGGATAAGTGAAAATGTTGGATAATAAGGAGGGATTAAGGAAAAGCCTGTTAAACGTCAAATCGTGTTATGATTTTACAAAGTAAGCACCAAAACATGTTTTACAACAAATTGACCGAAAAAGCAGTTCAATACAAGGTAATGTTATGGAGTAAATATAGTATTTACATATTTAACACCACAACATCACAATGTATTGAAACCGCTGCAGATCCGGGCAGGAAGCAGACTGCATTGGATAATATAGAGTGTTGGATCAGCAAAGGTTGGATAAGGGAGACTCTACTGGACTTCACAATCACTGAGGATGCCTGCCATAGATGTGGGTGAAATGTCAGGAGAGAATGCTTTTGGAATATGGCCATACAGCCTGGAAAACTCACATCAATGCAGAGGTTCCACTGAACATTTAGGAAGAAGCGATAGACTTGCTTGAGAGTGGCCTAGACTGGTCATTTCCAAATCTGGGCTTTTTAAGATTCTGGGACTTCAACTCCCATAAGCCCCAGACAACGTGAACACGTTGGCAGCCTGGTCCCTTCCCCGAGGCTTCAGCTGCTTTCAAAGTCAGATGGCTCCCAACTTCCAGAACCTTTTTGGATCCCGACTGGAGACAAGGAAGGAAAAGGAAGAACTACTCCACAACAAAACTAGAAGATTACAGAGATTTTATTTGTCACATTTTGCCTTTCAGCACATTCCACACAGGTGCCCCCTCTCTCTCCTTCTTGAGGGGAGACACAGGGAAAGCCCCGGAAGGGAGAGGCAGAGATGCTGCTGCTATTGGGGGGGGGGGGGGGGTGCACAAGGAGACCATAAAATAAAGTAAGGTCATGTCTGTTTGACAGCTCTGCAACAGGACAAAGTAAGAGGACTACAAGAAACGCTGCACCACTTCTACTAATTCAAGGCCCACTAGAACACGCTCCTGAGCTAAAGGCTCCCAGTTTTAGGGGGATAACCTTAGACGAGTGGTTCTCAACCTGTGGGTCCCCAGATATTTTGGCCTTCAGCTCCCAGAAATCCTAACAGCAGGTAAACTGGCTGGGATTTCTGGGAATTGTAGGCCAAAACATCTGGGGACCCACAGGTTGAGAACCACTGCAGTAGGATATTAATTCCCTGTTCCTCCACAAAGCACTGGTTTGCTAGCAGACCCAGTCCCCGGGCTACCTTTATCCCTATTAGTTCATCATTAGTGTCTAGATCAGTGGTTCCCAACCTTTGGGCCTCCAGGTGTTTTAGACTTCAACTCCCAGAAATCCCAGCCAGTTTACCAGCTGTTAGGAAATGATGGGAGCTGAAGTCCAAAACACCTGGAGGCCCAAAGGTTGGGAACCACTGATCTAGACCAGTGGTTCTCAACCTGTGGGTCCACAGATGTTTTGGCCTTCAACTCCCAGAAATCCTAATAGCTAGTAAACTGTCTGGGATTTCTGGGAGTTGTAGGCCAAAACACCTGGGGACCACAGGTTGAGAACAACTGATCTAGATAGACTACCCCCCACCCCACCCCACCTCCTCTTTGTATTCAGGGATGCCCCCAAGCCAATGGGAAGGGAGTGACAACCAGGAGATCAATTCAAGTTCATTTAAGAAAATCAGCATCACCTTAAAGAAAGGCAAGTTTGATGCAACAGAAGCCAGCCTCTTCATCAGAAGCATCCAAATACAGAGTTAGAAGGGACCACAAGGGCCATTTAGTCTGACCTGCTGCAAATACAAATCTAAGGTGCAGCAAGGCTCTTTCTGGTTTTCGTTGCAAGACTAACACAGCTACTCTCCTTGGAAATCACCAATGAAAGAGCAGTTCATCTATCCTATGCTGTAAGCACAATTGGCCATTTAGACCACAGGCAGTCCTTAAGGTGTAGCTGTTTGTGCTTTTGAATGCACGCCATGCAGATTTCAACCTCCTCCAAAACACAACTGTGTAGAAACCAGAGGAGCAGCAGGAACTTACAGACTGACCAAGCCTGAGTGACAGGCTGTGTCTGCACCTCCTTAAGAAATCCAGCCCCATCTTGGCATGAAATACGTCAACGTTGTTCCCTCCTCCGCTCCACAAAACAGCCATAACGCTCATCCTACATGTTCAGACGCCGTCTACACTTCACACTTGCAAGGTGGCTGCAGAGGCCCCTTTTAGAAATTATATCATGTAGACGAGACACAGGGCCACTCTTTCCCTACTCTGCTTCATCTCACAGGGCCAAAACATCCCTAACACAATGTATTGTTGAAGGCTTTTGTGGCTGGGTTCATTGGGTTGCTGTGAGTTTTCCATGCTGAAGCTGCAAGACCATTTAATGCTAATCAAGTGACTTCATCACACTAGAGGAAAAAATCCATTTATAATCCGGAGGGCGACTAAAATGATCAAGGATCTGGAGAACAAGCCCTATGAGGAGCTGGGCATGTTTAGCCTGAAGAAGAGGAGGCTGAGAGGAGATATGATAGCCATGTATAAATATGTGAGAGGAAGCCACAGGGAGGAAGGAGAAAACTTGTTTTCTGCTTCCCTGGAGACTAGGACATGAAACAATGGCTTCAAACTACAAGAAAGGAGATTCCATCCGAACATTAGGAAGAACTTCCTGACTGTGAGAGCTGTTCAGCAATGGAACTCTCTGCCCCGGAATGTGGTGGAGGCTCCTTCTTTGGAAGCTTTTAAACAGGCTGGATGGCCATCTGTTGGGAGTGCTTTGAATGCAACATTCCTGCTTCTTGGCAGGGGGTTGGACTGGATGGCCCACGAGGTCTCTTCCAACTTTATGATTGCATGATGCGGACTGGGCTTTCCTTCCTGTTTGGTGCTGTCTTCTGGATGTGCCTCAGAAGTATCCCACTGGGCACCTGGCTCTCATATCTCTTTTTCTCAGCCTTCCCTTCTCCAAGCTGAACATCCCCAGCTTCCTCAGCCATTCCTCAGAGGAATCCATGGGTTCCACACCCTTGACCCTTCTCTGGCCACCTTCCATCTTGACCATCTCCTTCTTTGGAAGCTTTTAAGCAGAGGATGGATGGCTATCTGTCAGGAATGCTTTGAATGCAATATTCCTGCTTCTTGGCAGGGGATTGGACTGGATAGCCCATGAGGTCTCTTCCAACTCTATGATTCTATTATTCTTCCCCCTGCAGAATTCTGGGGTTTGTCGTTTAGTGATGCTTTTAAAGGCTCCTTCCTAAAATACAAACCCCATAATTCTGCAGGAGGCAGAAATCCCATTTTAAGTGGATTTTTTCTCTAGTGTGATGAGGCCCAAGGTGGCCAATTGCAACATACAAACAAACAAGAGTTCTTTCTCCCAACCTGGGCACTCCACAGATATATAAACCCCACTTGCCTAGTTTCCAACAGACCTCACCTCTGTGCGTGCCTGCCATAGATGCAGGCGAAATGTCAGGAGAGAATGCTTCTGGGACATGGACATACAGCCTGGAAAACTCACACCAACCCATCCCTTACACAAATACAGGCCTAGCCAGGGCAGAAGCTTCCTGGCAACTTGTGGAGCAGCTTCAAGGTTTCTTGTGTTCTCCATTTCTATGCTGAATACCTGTCTGGACACAGAACGGCAAAAGATTCCTGGACGTCCATGACACTTTCTAGAGAGTGCTACAATGAGCACCAAGGCATCCCTTGATGTTCTCTCTGGGCTTTGCCTTCCAGGCTCAGCAACAGCTGCCAGCTTGAGGCAGCTCTAGCGATGACCCCACACAAACAAACACTCACAAGCTGCTGTGACTGCTGAGCCCTCCCTCGGATGGGGTTCTGGACAAAGAGGTCAAGGGCTCCAAAGCGGCAGCTGTGACCTAGCAAGCCCCAGGCTTACAGGACCCATCATGCCCTGCTGGCTCAAGGCTGCTAGGAGACCCCCCCCCTTTATGCTTCAAACCCCTCCATGTCTACCCACCCACCCAAGTAGCTTTCCCTTAATCCCCTCTGCAGACCTCATCCCAGCTTCATGTGCTTTAGTGTTCTGTCTGGTATGAAAAAGAGAGAGAATAAAGCTGCAATAAAACAAACTGCACATTTAGCCAACAAAGTCCGTAGGATCCTCTTGTTAAAATAGTTTCTCTCCCCGCCCTTCCTTCCTTCCTTCCCTCCCTCCCTCCCTCCCTCCTCCGGTTTACAAAAGCTGCTAGTTAATCTGCCGCTAGCTTTACAGGTAATGTTCTATAATGTACAACTCCCTCCTCTGCCCCAGTTCCAAAGAACAAGGCTGGCTCGGTGCCCTTCGCTTCAAGCCCAACTCCCGGCCACGGCACCCAAGGCAACGTTGCTGGTCTTCTCAATGCCGCTCCTTGCCACCTCTGCCAAGGTTGTCTGAGGGAGGGAAAGGCACTCGGCACGGAGGCGCTTCACAATGGTTGACCACCGAAAGCTCCATCCTCTGCCCGGATTAGGGTTAATTGTGTGTGTGTGTGTACTTTGTTTGTTTGTTTGTTTGTTTTAAAAAAGCTCCAAAATAGTTCCTCTGTAGAAAATGCCCTTCTGGATTAGAAAAAAAGAAAAGAAAATAAAAGAAGGAAAAAATACAACATGAACGCCACTCAGGGTTCTGGTTAAGGCCAGATCTGGGTTTTCCATTCCTCCGCTGCAGCTCAACAGCCCAGGAACAAACCCAAAGAGAAGTTGTTTTGGTTCTTAGCGACAGCTTTCTCTTCTTTTTCTTCCTCCTCTTCTTTTTGATAGCACCTGTTTTGGGGAAGCCAGAGTTCCAGGGAAGTGCTTTGCACAGGTGAAGCCCTCGCCAGGCCAGGCTGAGCCCACCTTCGGCTCCCGGGAGCGGCTGCTTGGCTGAAACGGTGAGAAGGGAGCCAGGCATCGCCTTTCTCCTTCCCTCTGTCCACCCACCTGCATGGCTACTGTGCACAGAGAGGGATTTTCCTTCTCTTGCTCTCTTTCTTTCCTTCTCTCATCCTCCTCCTGTCAGAGAAGGACCCAGGCCCAAGGGACACAACAGAAGGGGCATCCGAATTCAGGTGGCCATGTTGCTTGCAGACCACCTTCCCACCAAGGACAGTTGAGGCAGGAGATAGAGAGGCACCTCTTCCGGCAACCTCCCTTCCAACTCACACAGCTGGGTCCAAACCTCATCCAATTTGGAAAATGCTTTCATGGGGCAGGATGGGTTTTTGGCCATGGATGGAGCTCTGTTCAGGCTCCTCTGGGGCTGACAGTCGACACCGGAAAAGATGTGGCACTTGACAGAATCGCTCTCCCCCTCCTCCTCCTCCTCCTCCCATAGCTTGCCCCGTTGCTCCCAGCCGGCTTGCAGAGCAGTAGGACAGCCGCCGGGTGGGTGCTCCTTGCAATCCAGACTCTTCTTCTGGGGGGTGCGGAAGCTCCAGAACCAAAAGGGCACTAAAGGAGGGGGAGAAAAAGAAGGAGAGACAGCGGGTGCTTAGATTGGGTGGCTTGGAAATACAAACTCAAGACACCGCTGGCCTTGGACCAATTTCTCATTGTATCTCGACCTCTGAAGGCATGATCCCCGGATCAGCATGGAGCCCCTTTGACCTTGCAGCCTGCAGCTGCAAATAGCTTGAGGAGATTGGAGATTCCCACACCAGGCAAATGTAGGTTAATCTGCGCCCAGCAGAGGCACCATATTAATCCACAACTGTCAGATTGCTTCTAGGCCCAGAGCCCTCGGGGATTGAGTGTTTTGTAATTACAGCTCTAGGAAGGCCAAGCTTCTCCCCCTTTTGTTTCCATCCTCAAGCACACCCTGTCACAGCGAGATCCCCTGGCTTGCACCACAGTTCCCTTCAGCTTCCTGTTTGCCCCTGGAATGCATTGCTGGGGTTCCCTTCACATACATCTGGCCCTTTGAGCTATTTCCCATCGCAATAATTTCATTAACTTAACTAAAGAGTTTTTCAATGTATTGTCGAAGGCTTTCATGGCCGGAATCACTGGGTTCTTGTAGGTTTCTTCGGGCTATATGGGCCATGTTCTAGAGGCATTCTCTCCTGACGTTTCGCCTACATCTATGGCAAGCATCCTCAGAGGTAGTGAGGGCTCACCACCTCTGAGGATGCTTTCCATAGATGCAAGCAAAACGTCAGGAGAGAATGCCTCTAGAACATGGCCATACAGCCCGAAAAAAACCTACAACAACACAAACTAAAGAGTGATGGCCAGTATGTATCCCAAGTCTGGAGCCTCCGGTAGCGCAATGGGTTAAAACCTTGTGCGGGCTGAACTGCTGACCAAAAGGTTGGCAATTCGAATCCAGAGAGCAGGGTGAGCTCCTGTCTGTCAGCTCCATGTGGGGACATGAGAGAAGCCTTCCACAGGATGGTAAAACATCCAGGAGTCCCCTGGGCAACGTCCTTGCAGACGGGCAATTTTCTCACACCAGAAGCAACTTGCAGTTTCTCAAGTTGCTCCCAACACGGAAAAAAAAAACACCCCAATGTCACAGCACAGTACTGGTTGCCTCAGTTCTGTTTCAATGGAAGATATATTCATTTACTGTCCCCACTGCAGTTCTGGTTGTCTTTTTAAAATATGCAGACACAAATATTTGCAGAGACCCAGGTGTCTGCTCCTCCTTGGCAAGGACTGCACCCAAAGGGTTAACTGGAGAAATCTGGGGAAAGGCCCTGGCAAAATGGCACAGCACAGGCCTGAATGGCAGCTCCATACAGTCATTACAAAAAGGGAGCCTGTTTCTAAGGCCACAGCACAAAAACTTCAAAGAAGCCTTTGTGAGTGTCCTGTTCCAGAGCTGGGTGTGCCATGATGCCAACAAGGACTCCAAAACCCATCTGCCTAGTGGCAGAGACCCAATTCACTAATGTGGATTATTAACTTCAGAGTGTTTGCTTGAATCCCAGAAGTCAAGCTGCCTATTGCTGTCTGATACTGCTCAAGAGCAGAAGAGAAGCCCTCTCTGGAAAATGCCTCCTGTGCCTCCAAAGCAGAGGGAGACCTTGAGAAGCTTGAGCAGAGTCCCTAGTGAGGAAGAATGCTTAAAAGTGGCTGGCCAGCTCGCTACATTTGGGTATGCAGAAATATCTCCTGGAAAAACCAAGTTAACTCTTGTATGCATCTCACGGCTGTGTTTCTTTTGACCAAGTGGGGGTTCTATTCAAAGGAGGGACAAGCTGATGGAATGGGACAGCTTTTGGGCATTCAGCAGCATCTCTGCTGGTGCCCCTTCACCTACCTTTGTCATTCACGAAGTTAACTGGGTACCCAAGTGTGGCTGGAGGCCTGCGATGTGCTGGGGTAGCTGGGAGCCGATGGAATGGGTTCAAAATTGAAGTCCAGTCCTTCTCCATCCATGAGGTCAGTGTTGATGATGTAATCCACGTCGCATTCGAGGTTCTCCATGTACATGTCAACGTCCAAGTCGTTGGGCAGCCTGTCCTGGTTGCTGCCAAAAGGGACAAACATGGCAGAAGGCAGAGAGGGCTGCGTGCCCAGCTGTGCCACCTGCCCGGAGCCTGCTGCCTTCAAGGTTGACAAGCCGGCCACATTTGAAGGAGTGGCTGCCATGGTGAAGGGAGAGGGTAAAGTTGTGGCATTCGCCGACTCCAGCTGTTGCTGCTGCTGCTCCAAAGACTTTCTGAGAGGGTTAACCAGGCCCATCTTGGATTTGGAGGACTGCTCTCCCAGGAGCAGAAAGGTCTGGCTGTTCAGCCTGTTTCCACTCTGTGGCAAGATGGGATCCACCTGTGTCATCATCACGTCACTGGGTGGCGGAGAGTTGGACGTCAGGAGGGCCTCCAGGGTCTGTGGGCCTGAGAAGTGACCAGAAGAGCCGTGCAAAGGGACATCAATGGGACCAAAGAGGGAGCTACTGAAGGGTGAAGCCTGCGTGGCTGAGCTCTGTGCACGCAAAGGGAAGCTGGTGCTCCTTTGGACCAGGCTACCGGAAGCCGGCTGCTGGCCTGGCAAAAGGGATGAGCTGGGTGACATCAGGTTCAGGCCATCAATGAGTTCCAATTCCTCCGTCACTGTGGGAGGGACATTGTTGGAGGCACTGGAGTAGACCAGGGATGGCAAGAGCTCTTCATCCGCCAGGTCGTCCTGCTCGGTCAGGATGGGAGAGAGCCGCACACTGATGTTGCTGGCATTGGAGCTGGTCCGAGGGCGGATGCTGGTCCACACGTCAGAGTCCTCATTGCTGCGGGAAGAAGGGCTGCCGGGCCATTTGGGTGGGTACTGGGAGCCGGGGCTGTCGGCGGTAGGCTCCGGGGCCACCTGCATGGCTGCCGCCTTCTTCTTGGAGGCTTTCCCTCGGACTTTGGCCAGCTTGCTGCTGTTGTCCATAGAGGCTGCTCTCCTCCGTGGAGCCTTCCCGCTCTTACCCCCTTCCGGATTGAGCATCCACCAAGAGCTCTTCCCAGTGGCCTCATTGTGCACTTTCATAAACTTACTGTGCAGGGAGAGGTTGTGTCGGATGGAATTCTGGGAAAGAAAAAGGGAGAAGGGTTAGGGTCATCCTAGTACAATAATACAAGGAGGTCCTGCTCTCAGTCCCACCTCCCTCACAGGTGCTACTGGTGGTGGTGAGAGACAGGGCCTTCTTGGTGGTGGCTCCTCAACTATGGAACTCCCTTCCCAATGAAATTAGATCAGCACCCTCCCTCCTGGCCTTCAGAAAAAAGTAAAAACTTGGCTATGGGACCAAGTCTTTGTGCAGGAAGAAATACAAAGAATGGTCAGGGATTATGTGCATTTAATATTTGGAATGGCCAGGACTACAATTTTTGGATTATGTGATTTTTATGTTTATATTAATATGTTTTTAACTTCAGGTTTTAATGTCCAAATTTTGTTATGTTTTTATGATCTAATTGATAGTTATATGCTATTGTTTTATGTTTGTTTCCTATGTATGTGAGGAATTAAATTCTGCCATAAATATGGTGGAAATCGCTTTAAGTCCCATGCCCCCCCCCCCCAGGTGAGAAAAGCAATATACAAGTGAAGTAAATAAGTAAGTACATCAGTGTTATCATTCTTCACTACAGGGACACTATGGTGACAAGGGAATATATTTCAGCAGAGAAAACGACTAAAATGTTAGAAAATTTGTGCAAAGGTGCAGACTAGAGAAAAATAAGCCATTATTAACGTCTGAGCAGTTATCTCGGATACTGATGCAACATCAAAAGCCACCTGCCTTTCTAATATAAAGCACCATTTTATAAGACAACCAGTGAGATCTGGTGAACTTCCGACTAGGTTAAATGTGGAGGAAATGTGGTTCATAGATCACATACTCCTCCCTCAATCCCATTTGTATGCCTCAAGTTCCTTCAACTAAGAAATCAAGCATTTCCTGTAAAGAAAATCACTCCAAAACACAGGGGTCCTGCTCTAACCTCTCCCCCAAAGGACAAATAATTAGCTAAAACCCAAACAAGAGGTAACATCACATACGATCTGGCTATGGGGGGGAACGATGCGACAACCACATAGGAGAGCCATGGGCCAACAAAAATTGCCCCCATTCTGGTCCTGATGCCCACCAGATTAAATAAGTGCAGGACCTTGAACTGTGATGGACCTCATGTTCTACTCAAGGAATGACAAAGGTCTCAAATAATCCAGGAATCAATCTAGCTTGCTGCTCTTTTTTTCATTTGTACATCTTCATATTTGTCACTCCTCCCTTTGCTGATGTCTTTTTCTTTCTTTTCTACTTGAACTGCACACATAAGGCCTGCAAAATCTTTCTACACCCAGCCTGTTAGCATTGGCTCCTAGCTATCTAGGGAGCTGAATATCCGTTCCTATCACCCCTTCATGCCTCTCCTGATCATGGGTTCTGAATTGCTTTGCTGCCCTCATCTTGCCTTAGGCTGGTCATGGTGCAGATGGTGAATGGTGAAGTGGTCAGAATCAAACCTTATGCCAGGTACTGAGAAATAAGGGGAGCTGCAGAGACATTGTTTTCAAGTCAAGCATGATGGATAAATCTCCCAGTGTACAGTACTTTTCCACCCAAGTGAAAGCTGAACAGAAGACAATGGAGAAATATTAGCACCCTTTGGACTGTGACTTCATCAGATACTTAGGCCTTTTTTCAAGCGTCAGTGGCCCTGCCTCGCCCCAGAAATGCTGAACGGGCTTCGAAATGGGGACAGTCCAGCATTTCTGGACCCTATATTAACCAAGTCATCAACTGTAAATGATTGCACAGCCCGTGCTATCAACTGGCCAATGAACCCAACATGGATCATACAACCAGAGCCCTGAACCTACCTGCGCAACCGTATTTCCACCTACGAACCCACACAATCTCTTCGATCTTCCGGAGAGGCTCTTCTCTCGCTCCTGCCTGCATCTCAAGTGCAACTTACAGGGACGAGAGAGAGGGCCTTCTTTGTGGTGGCCCCCTGGCTCTCACTTCCCAGAGATCACACTGGCAATCTTCAGGAGGAATCTGAAAACCTGGCTCTTCCAATGTGCCTTCAGTGATTGAATGTAAGATACTCCCTGACCAAACTTTGCACAAAATGCCCTTAGAAGCACTCTATTGATGGCTCGTGCAATTAAATCCTCCCTCACTCTCAGATCCTCATCCTGATAATTTTACATTGTCCTATCTTCCAGTGTTTTAAAATTTTATCCTTGAATGTGGCCCTGCCCAGTGAAATCCTTTGTTTTTAATTGTTGTTTTTATACTGTTGTTCGCTTATTATATTGATTTTTGCATTTTATGTATTTTATTTCCTGGTATTGTTATGTTTTTGTATTGTAGTGTGTGTATTGTACTGATGAGCGTGGCCTTATATAAACCACACCAAGTCCCCCTGGGGGAGATGGAGGGGGGTATAAATAAAGTAGTAGTAGTAGTAGTTGTTGTTGTGGTTATTATTATTATTATTATTATTATTATTATTATTATTATTATTATTATTATTGAACATATGTCAGGGGTTCTTTGTGCTTTTCCTGCATGGCAGGGTGTGGGACTAGATGGCCCATGTGGTCTCTTGCAACTCTATGATTCTATCACACAATGCTGCTGTACCAGCTTGGAATCCTTTAGCTTCCACAGGTCTCTCCTGTAGTGACTTCAAGAGGGAAACAAAAAGAAACAAGCCATATCCCATCTATGGCTACTCTCAACTTGGAATGAGACACTTATGCTCCTCTCTCAGTGGTCTGCAAGCTGTGAGCTGCTGTGCAATCCTGCCCCACAGGGAGTCAGCCAACCAGCTGGCTAGCAATCCCCCCCCCCCCCCCCCCCCCCGGTTGCAATCCTTCCTTCCCAAAGGGATGACTGCTGCCTCATTGCATAACCACAAGACCTCAGAGTCACTTGAAACCAAGAAGTTCGGAACAGCATGTTAACTTCCTAGGAATAGTAGTAAGGTTTTGTTTCTGGGTAACAAGCCTGGTCAGCCAGAACCACAGCATGCGAAGGTTTGCGTCAAGCGATGTCCTTGGCCCAGCAGCAGAATAGTTCTGGAATTGCAGGAGGAAGCCATCCAGCCTTGGCTTCTCTCGAGAAACATCTCAAGCCATTTTCAAGCCTTTTGGAATTCAAAACAGACAGGGAAAGAGAAGAAGAAAAGCAGAGTATGCAGCACTATGGAAGCCCATGATGAGTCAAACTTCCTGACTGTGAGAGCCGTTCAACAGTGAAACTCTTTGCCCCGTAGTGTGGTGGAAGCTCCTTCTTTGGAAGTTTTTAAACAGAGGCTGGATGGCCATCTGTCAGGGGTGCTTTGAATGCAATTTTCCTGCTTCTTGGCAGGGGGTTGGACTGGATGGCCCATGAGGTCTCTTCCAACTCTAGGATTCTATGATTCTATGAATGAAGAATGCAGGCTTGCATCTGATAGCTAAATACTCTGATTCCTTCCACATGGATGGGCCAGATTTCAATCCCTGGCATTTATATTGAAGAAAGAATCCCACCTGAAGTCTCAGAGAAGTGCTGCTGCCAGACAGAATCAACAATGCTGGGTCAGTGGAACCAAGCATCTCATTCCAAATGAGGCAGCTTATTTTGTTTTACGCAAGATCACTATCTCAACCTGAATCATTGGCTGCCAGGAGTCCTTTCCAAGCCCTACTTGGAGGAGATGTCAGTATTTGAGCTCAGGAGCCTTAAATACAAACAAAAAGCATGGAATCATAGAGTTGGAAGAGATGTTCAATCTATTGTCGAATGCTTTCATGGCTGGAATCACTGGGTTGTTATAGGTTTTTTGGGCTATATGGCCATGTTCTAGAAGCATTCTCTCCTGGAGAATGGAGAGAATGCTTCCAGAACATGGCCATATAGCCCGCAAAACGTACCACAACCTAGTTGGAAGAGACCTCATGGGCCATCCAGTCCAACCTCATTCTGCCAAGAAGCAGGAAAATCACATTCTAAGCACCCTCAACAGATGGCCTCTGTTTAAAAGTCTCCAAAGAAGGAGCCTCTACCACACTCCAGGGCAGAGAGAGAGTTCCCCTCCTGAACAACTCTCACAGTCAGAAAGTTCTTCCTAATGTTCAGGTGGAATCTCCTTGCTTTCCTTTAGTTTGAAGCCATTGTTCCACATCCTAGTATCCAGGGCAGCGGAAAACAAGCCTGCTCTTTCCTCCCTGTGACTTCACCTCACATATTACTGCTGCATTACACTGCATCTCCATACAGAAATGTGGCCCAGGCTGCCCGTGACTGAGATATAGCCATCCTGGTAAGACTATTCACGCATCATATCAAAGTAAAGCACATTAATCAGGTTCTCTCTCTTTTTTAAAAAGGTTCAAGATCTGCTGGGCTCCAACCGCCAATGCAGGATGGGGAACGCCTGGCCCTCGAGATATGGTGGGAGCACAATTTCTTTCATGCCTCACATTTGTTTAGTTTGGCCAAGGTTGATGGGAGTTGCAATCCAATCAGATTTTCAGGGCTCTGTGCCTGCAGTGGCTACAAAGGAGCAAGCCTTGGAAAACCAACTTGGCAACAGGATAAACAAGTCAAAAGCTTGGAGCCACGTGGCAACACTCAGCCATTTTCAAGTACACAATATTTAATGTAAATTGAGGGTTTACAGGCTCACAATTATTGAGCAGGTTGACCAGCATCTACTCTTCCTAAGAATCACTTTGCTTCAAAGTGCTTCCAATTGCAGTTTTGGCCAAGACAGAGATTACAAACAAAATCACACACACACTAAGAGGAAGAACTTTTCATGCCATGGATATGAGTGAGGAACGCTTCTCATGACTCACCTAAATCTACAGCCCAATCCCACTGCCTGAGCCCCAAAGCACAGCATGGCCAAGGCCACTAAAATTTCCACTTGTCGTTTTTCTTTCCTTAAAAGAATAATTTATTTAAAAGGCCTTCTAATCAGTTTAACCTCTAGCTTCCTAAGGCTAGCCCAAATGTCTGAAAAGCACTGTGGTTCATGTTTCACAGAGGCCTTCCGGACTGTGTCACTGGGCAGCTA